AAATTATTTCATTTGAAAACAGAAATAAATATCAGAACCCCTCTAGCATTACTATTCGGAAGAAATTCATAAAAAAATAAGGTACACAACTGATGAAGGGTCGCACACAATGCACGCACCCCTGTCCTCATCCTCGGTGTTTGCCCACACACGACCACATTTGACAATTTTTCTAAAAGCGTTTTCCCCGGGAATATAGGTGTAGCGGTTGCCAGAAGTCGCACAGCTTGGGAGTCAGGGTATCCTGATCAATGCCTCAACGCCTGACGGGTCTGATATTTAGAGGGGGCGCAAGAATTATTAGGGGGCGGGGTAAACATGAAAGTTGCATAAATATCCATAGGCGTAGCCAGGAGGGGGGGGGGGTGCGATGGGTGCGATAACAATAGGCTTTATATATGCTTTAATGTTTTATTTAGCATGATGCTTTTATGTAGGCTATTAATTACAGTTCTTTTTGCAATATAAAACTGGTATGTTTATGCAAATTCCGATTGGACTAATATAAAGGGATATTGTTTCATTATGTGGACTTGAGAAAGTCCGACATACTCATTGCTTTCAACCCAAAACTTAAAATAGGAAGTTATCAAGATTCCAAGAACACGATCGCTACTTAAACAATACGTTTGTAAAATCCCGGCGATCGAAATGCAATCAAACTTTCGCAATCAGGTGCCTAATTAGTCTTTTGATCTCTAAAGTTTTACGACTGAACGTTTCAATGAACTCGTGAGAAGCAAACGCAATCATCATATAAACATTTTTGAAAAGTCAGTCTCGGAAGAATTTTCCAAGCATTCCCTGCTTCGATGCGTTTTTATTGCAAGGGCCGTTTAGCGCCGATAATATAATTCATTATAAGGCATTAGGGTTGTGCTTTATTTGTTTTATTTATATAATGTTATAAATGTGTACGACACTTTAATGAATTATTTTTAGGGTTACAATGCATATTTGACTTTTCCCTCTAAACGTTTAAAATTCATCTTTATACTTTTATACTTTTCTTAGTTTGCTTCAATAAAATTTAACATTGGATCCCAGACAGTTATCAAATTCTCAGACATTTGATTAATATAGATATTTGTACTTCCGTTGACCAGTGGTGCTGGTGTGACTGAGATTCGAATCTAATATGTTTCATTTTTATGTAAATTGAGAGGAATAAAATTTTATTTTAAGCGTTTTAACAATCTTAACGTTTGGCGTGCAGCTCAACTTAATACACAATCAAAGGTCAGAATACAGAAATAAGAACATGCCTTTTATTTGTTATTCAAGCTCCAGCAATATCCCCGTTATAAAACCAAAATAACTGCGGTTAGGTACCATATCTTGATTACAGTTAAGCCAGGCCATCTCATTTTGGTATGCCAGAGCCACTCTTATCTGCCGATTGTGGAAGGATAAAGACAAAGGGGTTGCGGCTATCGCGATGAGGCCATCTTATTTCTAGGAATTATTTCTGCCTCTCATTCCTTAAACCGGCTTTGTTAAACAGTGCCAAAATATATAAGTCGGAGCCAAAAACAAGACTATTTTTATATTTAAATCCCCTCACCTTGTCAATGTCTATGCTATGCCTCAGGCCTGTCAACTTGGGAACACCTAACATGAGTGACTTGGAAATGTTGAACACCTCCCCTCTAAATGTGGACACCTTGGTCCAAATCTGAACACCTCGATCCAAATTTTGAACACCTTGGTTTAAATTTTATTACATCTTGTGAAATTTTGAACACCTCAAATTTTTCGCGATCGCTACGCTTGCGTTTCAAACATCCATCAACGGGGGGGGGGGGGGGGGGTAGGTACGAACATTTTCGGGACGGAATGCGTGACATATTAGTGATTCGCGTGAAAAGTCCGAACGAAATGCGTACGTTTTTTTTCGGCGTTCGTATTTTTGCTGTGTAGACGAACTTTTTTAGAAATTTTTCTACAGAAATTTTTTTGCTTGACAATTACCAGGTAAAATGCGTATTTGCGTGACATTTTCTGTCACGCAAAAATAACTGGCGTGACTTCAAATTCTTCAGCAAATGCGTGACAAATACGCAAATTGCGGGACAGTTGACAGGCCTGATGCCTGCATCTGGTTTTCCCACCTTTGGGAGGGAGCCAATATACACATAGATTACTTACTGGCCATGGACGGGGGGTGGGGCACAGAAACGAACATTCTGGGGTCATAAGGGATACTTGGGGAAGAGGGAGGGGTGGTGGTGAATAGTGAAGTCCGGGAGTGAAGTTAAGGGGTACTGAAATCTTTCTTTTGATATTTAGTGCTTGAATGGAGACTTGTTTCCACTCCCCGCATTCTAGTAGAATTTAAATATTTGATCCAAAGGAGTTATTTTAAATCAAACTTGCATTCCGATTAATTAACACTCCAATGATTGTACCGCTTCACTATTGTCTACGATAATTATAATGAATTCACGGGACACTATAGTATATATAGTATATTTAAACTTTAGTGGTTGGATGGAGACTTGTTTCCCCATCCGGTACACTAGTAAATTTGTAAATTTTAAATATTTGATTTAGGGAGGTATTTGCAATCCAACTCTGATGATGCAAGACTAGTCAACCAAGACTAAATTATGAACTTATTATCATTTAGACTATTGAGTTCATTAAATTATAATTCCATAGATATCATATTTAATCCTGTCAACACAATAATGGTATTAATTGGCATGATATGTAGTCAGAGACGGTTTAAAAAGTTGTTTAGATTAATGATATAGTATTAGGAAAAATCCTAACTCAAAGTTTTTGTTCTCTCGCAATCCAGAGCAAACCACTCGCCGGGCAAGCATTCTTTAAAAACGTGAAGTTTTCACCATGTTGAACAGTTTTGAAAATTGTCCAATTTGAACCATCGCCTTGTATATTTCTGTAACTGCCCCCCCCCCTTGACACTCGAGTGTAAGAATCCTTTCCACACTGTCAATGGTTTTACAAAATAGTTCATGTCAGGAAGGGGGAGGGGTGAGTGTAGAGAACAATCACTGTCTGCGATTTGTATGATTGAACATTATACACTTATCATAAATTCGTAAAGAATAGTTTTAAAATAAACAGCTTGTTTTATTTTATGATTGGAGTGATGTATGCATAGAAGAATGACACTGGTTTTGAAATATCTTAATTATCCCATTGAATGAAGCCATCCGTCCCTCTGTCCATTTTTAAGTCATACTGGTGGACTGATTTGATTTAAAGGAGAAGTCTCGGTGTAGAACGTGTACACACTAATTGGAACGAATTTTACTCATTTCTATTTAGGATTCGTTCATATACTAGCGGGGCTTTAGAGCATTTACAAACGCACGAATTGTATTGTTTTAAAGCAACTTTTATGACATATAATGTATTTAAAGCTGATTAATTTTAGATTATATTCGGTTCAATTTTACAAATAATGAATAGTATTACAGTATATCGAAAAATATGTAATGATTTACATTAAATTGCGCAGACTGCAAGCAATGTACATGGTTGGCCAATTTGCATGCGCGTTCTTGATAATAAGAATTAAAGGTTGAACTTAAAAATCAAACATTTTCTTTTTTAAACATAATAAATCTTTAAATCAAGAAAATAAAAATAAGATTGATGATTGGACTTTCATAGTCAACTGCGACTGTGTCGACGCATGTTTATTTACTTAGCTAATTAGATATGTAAAATTGTTAATGGCCGCAACGGATAATACGTACATGTAAGCTGTTCGGATAAGACATTTCTAAATGATTAATAACAAATGTTATTCAGCAGAATGTTATTCAGCAGTAACAGATCTTATTAGTTATTATTCAATTTGGATAATAAATCTATTATCTCGTCGTATTGATGTTTATTATATAGTGTTTCTCGTTGTGTATCTCCTATGTGTGATGCTTTGGATGATGAGCAACATTTTGCTAGGATTTGTCAAAAAAATACAGAAAGAATACTTCAATTTGACACTATTAGACAATTTAATTTAATAGGCAGTCCTGATGTTATATTTAAAAAGCATATGTCCCATTAAAATTTTTATGTAAATTTACATTTAGTTAAAATCATTTATCATTCATTCAAGAATATGATAATTAATGTGTCAGTGATACATTACCCTGCATGCAGAGTCTAGTTAAACTACACTCTGCCTAGTAGAGACCATATTACAGTTTAGTAGCCCCGTTCCCACGACGGGTACCGGTGACAGTTTGGGTAAATCACTTTTGACCTACGCGCTGACCTTCCACCAATCAGCGAGCTTGAAGAAACCATATGCCAAATGCATTCTAATTAAATATGCGCATGTCATTGGTCAATTCCGGGCTCAACGATGGCGCAAGAAGGAATGACCATATAAAGAATGTCGGTCAAATTTGGCCGACGAACACTGATTGGTGCGGTGAGTTCACAGGTTTATTTTAGTTTGAAAGAGTGAAGACGAAGCTCTCTTTTAAGAAGTGAAGTGAAGTGAAGTGAAGTGTGATACATCACACTGATATTTTAACATTTTGTCTTGCTGCATTTCAAAGTGCCTAATGACTTCATATTTTTATATTTTGTCATATATTTTTGAATGTTGTTACTACAGTCTAGTTTAAATTAATTTTTGTACTAACATGTCATTGCAATGACATCAGAGAGTCATAAAAGACATAATATGTATATAATTAATATGTGTGCAATAAAAAAAAAACCATGTAAGTGACAATGCTTGGGGTCAGATGGATAGATATTACGTGACAAGGAAGAGTGTTTTTTATTTATGAGGCATATGATGTACCACTTTCAATTAGCTTTGGTAACAGAAATATGTCACCCACTGGAATTAATCTATATAAATCACAAAATTCATCATCATCCCATATCATGGGAAATTATATAAAATACAATTCGAACTGAAAAATGACACAAACGTAACCTTACAAAATAAAAGTTCTTCTTTTTCGATAAATGTGAAGGCTGTAATCTAAGAACTACAGGAAACTCAAGAAAGATAAATCAATTAATAACAAAATAACATAGAAGCAGCCCTGTAGACAATTCTTGTTTTCTTGATCAATCAAAATTGAAAAACTTAAAAACATACCATCCCAAAATAAGCCAGCATGTATTTACTTGCAAGGTACAACAGGAGTGTAATCTAATGTATTATTAAAAAATCAAATATTTGTACTTCATTTACACAGACAAAGGCAATGGAAGGAAGATCAATGTAAGCCGATCATCTGGTTCATTATGTCTGCACTGGTATTATTAGTACTTACCCTTTTTACTAATGCAGCTGAGGCAACTTGACGATTTCTTTGAACGTTTATCTCTACGTTTCTTGGACTCTGAATCGAGCGATAAAATGGTTACTTTTTTATCGAGGCCTACTCCATTTGAGCGTATTTGTTCTATTGGTTCAGCGTGTCCATTTAATCCATTGCTGTTTGATTGATTCAGTAGTTTATTTTCCTGTTGCTTTGGTGGATAAATCATCCGACCAGGACTTCCTTCCTCGATTGGGTATACTACAGCCATACCCTGACGCTTGCTGGTCATTGGGCTAGGCTTTGTAAATGTAAAGTCGCCATTGGCATTCTCTATCACATGATTGCTAGAGTACATTGTGAAGCTGGCTTCTTCTCCGTGAATTATTCTCTAATAAATCTTAAATTAATCCTAATTCAAAGGCCTGATTTCCTGTTCTCCATCAGTCACAATATTTCAGCCAAGCTTTGAAATAAGATAGCTGATAGCTACTGAGACCTGTATTATACCTTCTTGTCTGATGTCTCAGTCTTTGTATATTCCTCTCTTTATATATACGAGTATGTACCACCGTTTCGTCAGATCATATTAATTCTCTGCTTTATAAATGTAAGATTTACACCTGCTGTAGAAGCATATTATACTGGTATGACGCAAGAAACAATTAATCTGATTATTCTAACGCACAATAACTAAACATTTTCTTAATATATAAAATTCTAAGCTGATATATATTAAAAGCCTTTCTTTCCTCAGCATGGCAAAAAACAATTACGTGTATCTTTACTTGCAGAATTACATAGTAAAGAAAAAGACCAAGCATATGCAAGACAAGCCATGGTTGTCGAGATGATAGCTTGTTATATAAACAATATAAATGTATTAGGTAATTGTAATAATGATTTGGGATTAGCCGAGTTGACGACATATGAAAAAGTTTCATTTGAATCTGCTCGATATTATATTACCCTCCTTGCCCTATACAAGATTCATGGCATTTAATATTTGAGTTATAGCCAATTGTAGAATTACTGTGGGGGATTGGTGCTAAACTAATTACACAAATATGTGAAATATCTAACAATTTGTCTCATAATACAGACGCTAAAATTGGCTACTCTATAGGGCCCACTTATATTCTCAATCCATTTATGCATTAGGAATCTATCGGAAACCCCTGATGTTTTTTGTATTGATATGTAGGGTTAGAATGAATAAATTTGCAGTATAAAATCCTAGTATTTATTGCTAGAACCTGAAGTGCAATTAAACCCTATTAGCCTCAGAGAAGAGAAAATAAAAGCTGACGCTTCATCCTCATAATCGTTTATCTGAGATTCTGAAGAATTGGCACCAATTGATGCAATATCATACATGCATTAATTCAACAGAAATTGATTCTATTAATATATATGCTATGATCAGTCATTAGTTAATGAATAAACAAGTAAAAAATCACTGAATTGAAGCACTGACAGAATAAATTTTTCATGATAATCAAAAAATCTGTGTTTTGTCTAAAGTGGAGATGTTGCAATAAATCTTTCTATTTTCATTACAAATATTTCATTACATGAACAATATTGAAGTCCTTTGAGGATTACAATTTCTGTAAATTAGCCAAATTACATCAGTAAATCACCTTGTGTTATTACTATGTTATGACAAAAATGTAACATAAATTACAAATTGCCTAATTCTGAAATTTAATAGCCATTATTACGCCCAAGACTTAGTTGAAAAGTTACTCCAAAGGAATTAAATATTAAGTAAATCATGACAAATAGATATAACTTGATCCATTTTGAATATGTATCAGTCAACATAAACATGGACTTAATCATATTCAATAACTTTTGCATCTACTTAAAAAAATCAGAAAAATTCCGGGAAGAACATGCCTGGAATTCTTGCAGAGGAAAGCAGTTTTATTAGGTTCTACTATAATAGACTAGATGCGAGTAGAAATAATCTTAATTTAATTGAATATATAAAATTCAGTCAAAGAGGTGTCATTTTTGAAATCTACATGTAAAAGTACAATGTATATCTAAATATTGTGGTTTCAAAAATTGTTCATTCAACTTTGAAAATTTAATTTTTTTGAAAATTGATTCACTGAAACTGACAAATATTCAAGTTAAGGGAACTTTCTACTATACCCGCCATGTTATCTGACCTGAATGAGCCACCTGGTGGTGAAACTGATAACTACCTACTCATATCTAGATTATTGTTAAGACATTAAATACTTGTTAGACTAAGATGATAGGATTTTATGAATCCGTTTGATTCAAAGTCAAACCCTATACACAAGTAGAAAAGTTGCAAATATGAAAATATGAAAAAGTTTTCAGAATATCATACAAATCTGCACGGAACATGACACCTCTTCATAATCATAGCTTTTATCAAAATGGAGACACGTATCATCATTAAAGCAGATCAAAGAAATGAGTCAGAATCTTTAAGGATGGAGTTGAGAGCCAGAATCCTCTTAGGAACCTCTTATTCCATAAGCCAATGATTCTCATAATGCTAAATACTTATTTATGGCATGACATGGAATTCTCAGAGAACCCCTGTATCAGGAAGAAATATATACTTAAAATATAATCATGGCAATTTGAATGTGCTCTACCATATGAAACATTCAAAAATGTAAATATTCAGAGATTTCCAATAACATAAGATTATATATGTTTTATAGAAGCTAGAAATAGGTGAATCATCATTGATGACAGCATAAATCTATGCTAAATATGACAATGTTAGATGACTGGAGACAAAATCCATAAGTTGCTTGTGTCAGGTTGACATTTTTCTGCATGGTGATGAAGTACCAATGCAAAGCAAGTAAAAAAGTTTACCTAGATCCAGATGCATTATTCAGTAGATGCACAATTTGAATAGATGAGTTCGTCAGTGAATAAGTAGGAATGCTACCATTCTATAAAATCGAATATCTTAAAGCGATTAATAAATCTTTTACCTGAATCTTTCTCCCAGAAGTCATCCCAAGAATCTTCGAAAAATAATTTTACAATTTCATTGGACCGAGACTTGTTGATGTTCAACATTTTGCAATGAGGTTGCAAAGGATCCTAGATTAAACCACAGTCTCGACCATAGAAAACAACTCCAATGTGACAAGCGAAAAAACTAAAGGCAGGACCATTTGCAAAATACTCTACATTTGGCATAGACTGAGATGTAACATGATTGGAAGGGCCAAAGTTCCCATGGCATTTTGTCAAAGCAAATGGCAATATTATACACATGTACCAAATTCATACAATTGCAAAATAAACATTTTACAATCTTTGTGGCCAAATCGTCCCATAAAACATAAAGGAGAGAGATGTAAACAGATATCCGGAGCTTTCCACTCAGAAATAGTCATGAATAAGGTCTCATAATTCATAATAACATAGATATATAGATACATAATTCACCTCCTTATATTATTGTGGTAAGGTACTAGGGGTCAGAATAGCTTGATGCAAGACTAATGTTGACTGAAATTGGTCAATTGGTCGAGCAACATTTGTTTTTTTTCTTGTCCATGTGTTATCGCATCATCACAGCATTAGGCAAATTAATTCAAAATAAAGCCTACCGAGACCGCAAGTGATTTTTTATATAATACTGAAGTCAAGTCAATATGCATAGTGTGAGAACCTCCAAAATGTTCAAAGTTTCACCCCCAGAACATGCGTTCACTTTCAGGTCAAACTCGAGGTGAAAACAACAATTAAACTTAGCCATTTTCATTTATTTAAATCAAACCAAACAACTGAATTTACCGCAATATGACAAGAAAAAAGTCATAAACACAAATAATATATGGCATTTCCTTTATAAATTAAGTGAATAGAATTCAGGATTCAGTGATCATAAAGCGCCATATCTGACCACAAATCACAATCAGGTTAGACCTGTCATTGTTCTATTTATTAACATGATTGATGGAAAACTGAAGGCTGTTTCAAATTTTCTACATTATGCTACGTCTTATGAATTGTTTGTTTCTCTATAACCTACCTGTTATATTATGTTTTATTTAATAGATACTAAAATTAGTTTTAATGATGTGATAAAGACAGACAAAGGAAGAAGAGTGATATCTTGTTATGGGATACGGCTAATGCATCAGAATATAAGCTTAGCCCCATAGATTATCGTCATCAAGCAAAAAGAAAAACACAAAGGGCAACATTTAAAGAAAATATATTAAACAACTTAAATCTAATTGCACTAGTATGGTGAATACTATCCGCTTATTATCATTGATTTTACAAATAAAATCTAAAATGGTTGTTGGTAAAAGTAAAAAGCATAAATGCTTATTCTTCGCTTATTTTATGCAATTGTGTATCTTAAACTTTAAGAGTCACACTGACCGATCTAAGCTTCGTCTTGCAATACTATCCACAACCCATAATATACATTTGTAAGTATGATTGAAAGATTTGTCTCAACTTCTAATGAGATAAGTCTACAATTCATAACCTACCTGATGCCTGGGAGGTGATTCTACATTAAAAATAGAGATTAATTAATAAAAAAACATGCTGAGGAAAGACAGGCAGTTAAACAGGAAAGACAAGACTGATCCATTAGTTGTATTATACTCCTCCCATCCTCTTACTCTATCTCTCTTCTGAAGTACTCATTATTTTCTTACTCTGTGATAATTAATTTTTCATCCAGGTTTCTTCTGCCGAGTATTCGCCAGTGGCTCAAAAATCGTTCCTGTACTTATTTCCTATGCTTGGAATTCGTGTATCCTGTCACAATTTGTTTAGTAAAACTGCAGACATTGCATTATCTTCAACACACTCCATTGCATTCGGCTTGTAATACAAACTTGATTCCAACGAACTGTTCTGAATCTCACGATATATCAGACTGGATACACTTTCTATAAATCACCAATATGCCAATCTTGTAATCATTTGTAACCCCGGGCTAAATGATAGCAAGATGAAAGTGAAAATTGAGGCTTGACAAATGCAATATATAATGATTATAGTATTTCATGCTATTCCTTGTTTCTCAAGAATTTGTCTCTGATTACATTTTTAGATTCAATGTTAATTCTTGTAATTTTTGATTGTTAATAGCGTAGCAGATTCCTAGAATATCTAGCGTATGTATATGGATGTCTCAGTCGATCACCATGTCCTGATGTGCAGTTTATCTAAACCATCAATCAATTGAACATAAACTGCATTCTCTAGCTAGAGTCCTTCAAAACTGGCAACAATAGCTTAGCTAGTATGGGGTGGCCCTTGGCATGTTTAAGCATCTACTTCAGTCAGCTAACTACTATGTTTTCCAATAGCATCTGCATCTATAATCAATTAGTCAATTTTCTTTCTTGTCATGAGTAAATAATCCTGCTATGTGATGACAATGGTAAGAATGTATACCTCTGTAAGATTGCATATAAATGGTTATATCAGTTAGAAACATACTAATATTGCCAGAGTGTATGTTTCTGGCTTTCTGGCACAAGGAACACTATGTACACTTATCATGTCCGAGTCTAACTAAAGTGTTATATCACGTAAGTGTCAAGACACGACAGTTTAATGTCATATGACATCACTGAACCACTCAACAAACAAATGTTATCTGAGACTTACATTTCAACCTTTGCTGATAAGTCTCTGA